TTCTCACTTATCAATATGAAAATTCATGTTGGTGATGATTATACTGTGTTTGAATAATTTAAAAACATGTATTCAATTCGACCTATGAATAGAATTTAGAAGCGGCATTATTGTCATATAGTTAATCATTTTTCAGATCAGAAGAAAACAATCGAATTTAGTATTTCTTATATATGTATGCACTTTCGGTCTGTTAGATATAGAGACTAGAGAAAATTACACCGTGGAAAAAGACAGAATTCTACTTGTAAATTTTAGTGAAAGCGAAATTTCTCAGCGAGGAAGAAAACTTTTTAAAAATCATTTTAAAAACCTCAACCTACTTTTGTAGCTCGTTGTCAGGCGAATAAGATGAGATAACAAGTTTGGCTACAACTATTCACAAAAAAAACTTGATAGGTTTACAAAATGACCTAGTACCGCTTCGACAGGTAGGGTTTTGGGCTCACAAATTCCGAAAGGCTAAAGCGTTCACAATCAACTCAGCATCATTTTTAGAATTAGTTTTTGATGCCAAATCAGAACAAAATAGTTTGAAAACTTGAAGAGAAACCATAAAGGAAGAAAATTGAATTACTTGAAAATCATAGGCATTTTTCGAAAAAGTGGATCTTACAAGTTTTAAGGATTTTTCGCCATGAAAACAATGTTTTGGAAAGCTGAAACCAGATTTTTCTTACTCAGCTCGATGCGCTCTTTCTAATGATGTATGATTCAACTAGAAAAAAAAGTTTTGCTCATCTTTTGACTTTCCGACACCTTACAGAAAAATGATTAGATTTATATAACAGTAATTAGTTAGTTATGTCAATATAACTAGTTCTCACAAAAAGCGAAGTATTAGATATTTGTTTCATCTTTTAGTTACTTTTAGTCTTTTTTTTATAATGTAGAAACAAAATAAATAAATAGAATAAAGGTTATCTAGTTTTTAGCTAAAATTAGCGTTGGTTTCGATATTATACTTTATGTTGAACAACTGGGAAATTCCGGTTCAAGTACTGGGAAATTACAATTCAGATAAAAAGTAATTTATTTAATAGTATCCAGTATATTGTATTGACGTCTCAAGTGTAGAATAACACTTGCTTATTTATATTACATTATGAGAAGACGAATCTAGAAGATGTGAGTTTAATTGAGTTATCAAATAAAAAAATTATACTTTTGAAATGACCGTTATAAAATAATATTCGAACATTTTCGCAATCGAGTAACAATAAAAAAACAAACAGTGTAAAAAGTTATGATAAAAAAATTATTTTAAGTACAAATGAAGAGCAGAAAAAGAATAGAATATTCATACAATAAGAACTATGAAGAATATGAAGAAATTATTCAGTTAGTAATTATGGCTAAAATTGTTCGTGATATTCATACATATATATTGATTATTATTTATAAATCTTTTCTTTTGCATAGCAGAGCATGAGGAATATTAAGATTAGATACTTTGTTTTGCCCTAAATAGTCTTGTCATTTATTGTACAGAAAATGTTAGTGAAAAGGTAAAATTATTCTAGTCGACATAAATTACTTCTAAATATGTGAGAGCAACCAAAATCTAATTATTGTCAAAGAAATTCTAACATACTACAACTCTACTATACTCAACTGACATTTTATTTCTATTTTCAATACTTTCTGAGTGTATTACTCAAATTCTAAATCCTACAATTCTCATTCAGTAAGTGATCATTTCGTCGAAACATCGAAAGCCGCTTAATAATTAATTTTTGTTCGATAAATAGCCGTAGCCGTGTTGCATGAGAAATCTATCTCCATAACGGCTCAACCAAAAATAAATCCTGTTGGTTCATAAAGGTTTTAAAGGATGCTCTTACTTTTGGCTTATTCGAAAAATATTTAAAATGAGCGCAAGTAGAATTTTTAGAAAACAGGTTACAATTCTGTTACAACTTTTCTATCTAAATATTTTTGTTTGACCTTTTTCAATACCTACTTTCGACGTTTTCGAGCACCATATATATGAAGTTGTTCATTACAACGAAGGCTTTCGTATGATATTAAAAAAGTTGGCCTTGAGTACAAGAGACTGAACAGAAGACCGTTTGATTAAAAACTCAATTTGGCCTTAACAACGCGAAAACAAGTTTTTATCCTAATAGATCACAGAGCAGCTGTGTTCTATTTCAAATAATATCGTTTGGTAGTGGACTCAATAGGCTTTCTTTTTCATGTAAAGTATATCATTTCTGACAACTTCCCTCTAGAAGTAGAATTTCTTTTTCGAAATTAATGTAGAACTTTTGCCTCACCCGTTATTTGATGAGGTCCTGCCGTTATGATATATCACTACTATACTGTTGTTCGCTCAAATTTTGACTTAGAATCATGGGATAAATGAATGATTTCGAAAGAGAGTATGTTATTTTTAATGGGAACGTTTTGTGAATTTAGAGTTCACTTTTAGTTATTAATAATTATTTGAATTAATATGTCTATTTATTATTTTTCTTTATTATTTTCCTAAGATAATTTTATTTTTAAAATATCTTTTGGTTAAAGTTTATGAATATCAATTTTTTTCTATCACAAAAAAAAGTATAATATACAATACAACGTATTCACTGGAATAGTAACCAAATGAACAATATTTTTACAGTTTTATTTGTATCAATTTACAAATTTAAAGCTATGCTAACTTTCTTGGGAGGCCCTTTAGGTTTTCGTTTGCCTAATGGCTGAATACGTATTTTATCGCTAACTTGATACAAGTTAAATAAAATTGCTAATCCAACAGAATGTTTACACGAATATACTTTCATGCCAATCGGACAGATACATGATTCTAATGGTACAACAAGCTAACAGGTTTGTTGCCACATCAGAAAATCATTGAATGTAAGCCATTGACGAGTAGAGCCCATCGGATCCGACTCGGACCCGGCCGGATCCGGGTCTGGATCCAGAAATCGTGGACCCGATGGGCTCTAAATATGTTACTTGTCAAACATAAAAAAAATGAAAAAAAAAGGATATCCTATCTTTGGATCGATTATCAAATCCGAACTAGAATTTTGCATTATAGATCTCAAATGAGTGATTCGTGCCGAATCACAAAGAATTAATTATTGCGTTTGAATCCGAGAATTTTCTTTGAGCGGGTCCGGGTACAAAAAAATTTAACCAACCGGGTCTGGGTCCGGTCCGGGTTTGAATAAATTTTTATCATCGGGCCCGGGTACAAAAATCATGGACCCGATGGGCTCTACTGACGAGAACGATAAATATCTAGCCAATGATACTTTCAATGATTTTCTGGTGTATTCAACCATTAGGCAAACGAAAAGCTAAAGGGCCTCCCAAGAAAGTTAGCATAGCTTTAAATTTGTGGATTGATACAAATAAAACTGTAAAAATATTGTTTATTTGGTTAATATTTCAATGAATATGTTTGTATTGCACATTATACTTTGTTGAGAAATAAAAATGTGAGATCATGGTGAAAAATTTGGCGGATCAAAAGTATCTTTTTTTGGTGCTCATTTGTATCTAAACATATCTGGTAATCAAAAGTACATTTACTCAAAGTTTATTTGAGTGGGATTGTAGTGTTTGTTCTTTACATTTCTTGCTCTCTGGTTGATTTTTATTGAGGTAAAGTTAATCTATGAGTTTTATTAATTGCTTTTGTTTTTCTGTCTTTTGATATCTATGATTTAGGTTTATTTTGAGAGGTTTTTGATTAGAGTTAGTTCTAAATTTTTGATCACTAACGTTTATTTTATCATAGTATTCTTATTCATAGTATGTAATTATAGTTCTTAGAATATGATTTATGTCAATCGACTCAGTTTTTGATGCTGAATCCGAATATGTCCTGATTTCTGTTATTAAATCCTTGAATTACAGGCAAAAACTAAAATTTAAATAAAAATTTGCGTAGAGATTTTCCTTCTAAAGATCTATTGGAAATCTTTTTCAAACTTTGCCAACTAGCAAGTTTGTGCAGTTTTTGGAGCTCTATTGAACGATGTGTCTTAAAATACTTAAGGATCTTTTTGAGCCAGAATATTTTGATTTGAAAAAAGCTGAAATTTTAAAATTTAAAATTTGATTTAAACTTCGAACTTTGGCGGTGGACAGAGTTTTTTTCAGAATGTAGCCCATACAAATGCGAATCAGATCGTCTGTTTGAAATTTATTTTGAAACAAAGAGTTTCTGTAAAAAAGTTTTTTCGTCAAGTACCCTATGTCAAAAACCACTGTTTTCTAAAAATCCTACTTGCGCTCATTTTAAATATTTTTCGAATAAGCCAAAAGTAAGAGCATCCTTTAAAACCTTTATGAACCAACAGGATTTATTTTTGGTTGAGCTGTTATGGAGATAGGTTTCTCATGCAACACGCCTATTACGTTCATCTTTATCCCTTTAGCAATGAACTTCGTGAAAGTTGCCGTTGTCTACGATTCATACGAAATGTTCACATTTGCTACAAATTTATTTAATATACAAATGAAAATGAAATCTCAGTAATCCTAGAGATAAATTAAAAAATAACGGTAAAAATAACAAAATGCTGGATCGTATTTGAGATTTTCTTGCTTTTCTTTTTTTTTACTTCCATTAAAATGTCTGGAAGTTGAGTAAATATTTATAATAACAGTTTCAACACAACTAAATAACACATTAAAACTATTGATTACAAGACGAAAGAGTTGTTATCAATGCTCATTTATGGCACTTAATTCACTAGATCAATATGTAAATGAGTTATCAATTTAAAACAAAGTAACAAAACTCTATCAGTGGAAATTTGAGAAAAAGTTTTTGACAACAAATAAACTACGAAAAAAAAACTTTTAGACCAGACGTGTGAGACTCAATCGTAAAAAATGGATATCTTCATAATCGCCCAACTGAGTCGGGTGGCGGTTATGTGAGACTATGTAGCAGTGTACAATAGAAATTGCAAACATTTGAAAACAAGAAAAAAAGGAAAACTATCCGAGATTATTCGATATTGTTATACTATTTACAGACGAACAACTCTTTTTTCCGACGTTAATAAACCTAATCTTATATAAACATCAGTACCAATTCCAAACATTGTTTCTATTGATAATGAGCCGTTAAAATATTCACAAAACGCACGAGATGTTGGCACACCAAAACCATACCTAAATGATAAAGAATACAAATAATTTTAAAAGGTCATTCCATTCTACATTATTAAAACGAAGATCATATTCAAGAATCGAAAGTTTTATGTAAAACAAGTTTATTAGTTCTAATTAATCTTTGAACAATAGTATCACTTATTAATAGAAAGATACCCGCTCATTTTATTGGTTTCACGAAGGATAAATTTATCAAATAGTTTGTCATTGATCTGATCAGAATAAGACATCATGCTGAGATCAGCTGACGAATCTGTTGTTGTAAAATGATAATCGAAAATCTTTTCTAATACGGAACGTTTCATTCCACCGCCTCTATCTCTGATTCTAAAAAAGAAAATATATAGTTTTTAACGAACAAAATCTTCACATCATATTCATCTCACCGCAATATTAATTCATCATCGTTAACAGCAACTGTAACATTGATGCATGGCAGTTCATTGTCCGAGTGAAGATGATGTTCGACCGTTGCTCTAAAAATAGAATTGCCTTTTTTAATGTATTATCAAGTAAAATAAGCATAAAAACTAACCTGAATGCATTCTTTAACATCTCGGGCACAATATAATGTAGCGGAATCGGAATAAATGGAAACGTACTATTCACATGACCATCAAGACGTATTTCAGGACTAACACCATACTGAGCTTTACACAATTTTCTATGAAAAAAGAATAACAAATTTTCATGAAGTATAGTTTAAAAAAATAATATTAGAGCAGACTTACGTGACTAGATCGGCTGATTTTTCGATAAGTTTCTTTGGTGAAAAGCTCAAGCAAATAGCACCGGTATAATTTGGCTATGAAATGACAACATATGAATATGTAAAAAAACAGAATAGAAAAAGAAACTTTTCTTTACCTTTTCCTCATGCAATTGAATATGGTGTTCAATTAAAATTCGCATGCATAAACGGGATGTTAATGCCCGATCGAGAAAATTTCTCACGAGTGTAGCTTGCTTTAGTAAGAAAAAAGATAGAAAATTTAAATTCAATCAAATTTCCTTATAAAGTAGCAGTAACTTACTTTGATATGTCGTTTTGTCTCACGAAATCCCTCGGCAAGTAACGGTAACGTATCCGAGCTCGAATCCAGCGTACATTGAAGTAAATCTGTAAACAGTTTTTCTTGCTCCAAGGTTTTTATCTTCAAGAAAAATGCGAGAATATTTAAATTTTTTTCCAAGATTTATTAGTGTGTGGTCTTACTGGTGGAAATGAATATAACGAGTGGAACATTTTAATAAATCGTTCATGCTACAATAAAAACGAAAACAGAAAGTTAAAATGAATAATATTTTTCTAAAACAAAATACGATAGTGTAGAAAAACGTAACGTACCAATTCTAATAAACGTGGGTTGCAAGCAACAACAAATGGTAAATTTCTAAAATCATCTATTCGATGAGCAAGACGTATCGGTAAGTCTAAAACGAAAAACAAAATTATTGCTATATTTTCTTGCAGACGATTATCAGCGGTTGTATACACACCTTTATGCAAATAGTGTGCGCTTCGCTAAAAAGAAAGTAAAAATAATTTAAACCGCGATTGAGTTCAGAGTGCTAGGTTTTTATTAGCGACTAATTAAATCGATCAAAAGGCACAGTTTTTCAACTTTTCAACTCTTTATTTTTAAATTTATCAATGTCTCATTTAGGAAAATATTCATAACACACACATCTAACTTCATACGAGAAGCCTCATGTATTTCTGAACATGCAGAAATCGACATTCTAATAATTGATTTTCAAAAATTTGCTAATTCTTACCATAATATGACTTTTATCTTCTGATTTGGCAGCATACATCATTGTCAAAGGCGTCAGTCTTGTGGGTGATTTAGCAGATGCCGATTCTATTGCGCTTTGACTATAGAATGATGTTACTGTTATGTTCTTCAAATGCCTATCTCTTATCATTCTTTCATTTTGCAAATAGTGCTGCTGATAATTGTGATTTTCGTTTGATCCATTTGGATTACTAATCGTTTCTTCAGATTTATGGTTTGGTACATTTGAGATTTTGTTCAAAGCATTTGAAATGCCACGTTTGAACGAGCGGTACTGTATGATGGATTTTGTACCACGAAATAAATATGTTGTTAAATTTCGCGTTTTCATATTTACAATGAATTCGATATCAAATGTTATTCGATAAATGATAACAAGTATTTTGGAAAATAAAACAATAACTATTTATATCTAGCTCTACTTTATCTTGCCGAAACATGATAAACAAAAATTTGTCTACGAATGGACAAACGATATAGGAAAAATTCATAAATATGAAGATGCGAGAAAAGATATTATTGAAAAAACTAAATATAACTAGAACACAGATCCATAGCGTACATCATTTCCGTTCTGTTCATGGCGGAACATGCACACGCAGTCCAAACGTGATCGTCATCCAAAAGCTAATTTATATAACAGGTATTTCATGGACTGAGGTATGCAGCGCTTGCTTTTGTATTAAACAAGATCTTAAACGCCTCTTTTTCAAAATTGCGTACATTTATCAACACATTTTTAGAATATTGTATCCTTTGTCTCGTCCACAGTGCAGGCTTCTAACTTGCCAATGAAACTAACCAATGGAAGCTACAACTGTAAAAATGCCATTGATCCGGTTGAAATAACGCGGAGCAAACTAGCGTGGCCAGATCTCCTGATTTGACTAGGAGACTCCTCATTTTTGGGCGTTTCTCCTGATGAAAATTCTCCTGATTTTAGGAGCTGACTTTTAAAATTTTCTCCTTCTCTTTTCCACTTCGATTATACGGAATTTTATCATTATCTCTTAATATAAATAATCAAGAACTGTTAATACAAAATTCACTCATCAGAAAAAGACAGTCATGTTTCAAAAATACCATGGACGATGTAGCAAACAGTTTGTTCTCCATATTCGCTTTGTTTTGTTTTGGTTTTTGTCGGTTTCTTAAAATATTTGTATATGTTTAGTTTATACTGTTAAATGAACAGCTGGGAAAATACCATTAGAATAAATTATTTGTGATAATCTTTCTATCTTTTTCTTTGTTTCGCTTGTAAGACAGACCTACTTATTATTTGCTTGGTAGAAAATAGTCACAAGCGTTTGTGGGAATGAAAATTTTGCTTGCTCAAGAAAATACTGCCTGATACTCTCCTCATTTTCTCCTGACATCCAGTTGCTCAGAACATCTAAACTTTTGAAGGTCGAATATCTCTTTCATTGTAACCAGGGTGCCCCAATCCAGTTTTTCCAATTTTCGAAATCAGAAGAAAAACAGGAGAGTATCAGGCAATTTTTTCATGGACAAGTAAAACAAAAAAATCGAAAAAACATTTTGAAATATTTTTCGATGAAACAGTAGTATCATTTGTTGCAGACTGCAGTGCGGATTGAGGAAAGAGATTTTGATCCTATGGCAGGGGCACAACTAACGGGAGGGTATGAAAGGGTGCGCACCTCCCGAATAATTCCAAAAGCCGTTGTTATTTTATCCATTATTTCTCGCACAAAAACTTTTTTTATCAATTTCACACTACCTCAAAGAGAAATTTTGTTCCACCTCCCCCTAATGTTCTGGTTCTATTTGCGGTTCTGCCTAGTATGGATTTGGAAGTTCACTAATCTCATCTTCTTGTGATGAGAACATTCGATAAGCACACAGCGAACTCTTTCAATGTACAATTAGTTAGACTGTTGATCAAGAAATTCTGTTTCTGAAACTGACAATCTTAGTTTTGGAAAAAACAAAATCGATGCAGGAACACAATTGAAAACCAGGAGAAATCAGGAGAAAATCTTAAAAATCAGCTCCTAAAATCAGGACAATTTTCACCAGGAGAAAAGTCTAAAAATCAGGAGATTTGAGCACTCTGATTGTAATCGAACATAAAAAAATGAAAAGAAGAAGCGTCATCCGATTTAATTGTGCTCATATGGTCATTTTTTCACTTTTATTTGAATATTTATCGAATAGATAGAACTTTTGTTTATATACCATTCGAAAGATCAAAATCTAGACTACAAGATGAAAAAAAGAAATTATCAGTAATACTTACAGCTGACGGATGAGAAATCTGCTATAAGAAGGAATAAACCTCAGAATTAGGGCTGTCGAATGGTAAAAAAGCTTTTTTTCTATCTTTTTTTCAACTTTTTTTTCTGGATCGCACGAAAATTTTTTCCACTAAATGTATGTGCATGCTGTTTGAAGGGGAATAAATGTATTGAGTTTGATCGGGTTCTTTGTGAGATTAGGAACTATCTGACTGTTTACATTTGTCAGCAGACAAAACTTTAGCGCATCTGGCAGTAAAAGAAGTATTCAGTTTGACCAAAAATGAGTGAGATGCGAGCGATAAATTCAATGATAACCGTCTCGTTGTATTTGTTTCGTTTTCTATTCTATGTAGAAACGACGTAATCATCATATCCTCTGTTATGAAGCATGCGGAAAAAAGTGAGTTCATGCGCTCGTTAGAAAAACTCGTATAATACAGAATCCAATCGCGAAATGTTGAATAACGGACTAAAAGAATAGTAGAAATCCAAAGCTTTGAGACCTACTAGAGCTCATAGCACCGATGCATCCTTTATGTGGAATCATCTATAGTTCATAAAATCGAACCAGGATCCTTCCACACAGGTTCGCCCACTTTATACAGAGCATTTTGCCGCGAAAATTCCACTTGCCCCATCGTATAAAGCATCAAAAATAATCTAAAGGTCTCGCTTACGCTTTTCCAAAAAAACGTGTGAAAAGTGGTTTTCTAGGCACCTCAAGTTTTTGGTGAGGGTGAACCCGAAGTCGGTGAAAATGAACGAAATATTGCATAATTATACATCAAATTGTAGCTCTTGACGAGTTGATTCTAATGG